GTCTCCACGGTACTCTCACAGTACCAATCAACTCTTCTTTAGTATCTTTACACACTTCTGAGATCCCAGTTTGCTAAAAACTTTGATCTCCTAAGGAGAAAAATGATTTACAAAAGAATTGATATTTATGACATGGGGTAATATGCAACCCTGTCAAAAACGGTTGCCAGAAAAGCGCTTCTACATTGACCATTTTTAATATGTGATCGACAGTGTCACAAGGTAAGTGGCCGTTTATGTACATGACTTTTAGCCTCTGTTCCTCCTGAATCAGCATTTCTTAACAAAGACTGTGGAAGAACTCTGATGACTTTTTTCGGATTTTATATGGTAAATCTCTAAACTAGACAACAGCAGTAGAATTTAAAAAAAAAAGAGTGACTGACTAAATACGGATTAAGACTTATTGTTTTAAGTAGGTGCTGGAAGAGGAAAGAATTGGCAAACGATGGCTTTCGTAACAGTGGAATATTTGTACAGAAAGGTACAGTTTCAAAGCCGTTGTTATTAGTATGCCAACTCTGTAGGCTTCCAGAGGCAGTTGTTGGCTTACCGCTTAACTAGTTTAGCTGAAAACTAGGAGCGAAGAAAGCATTAATTTTTTAAAGAAAAACTGTAATTTCTAATAAACGATACCTAAAACTTTCTTTACTGCTCCAACTCAAGAATTTTGCCAAGAAGTTATTAAAGTGATCTTCGGGTATAAATTTTTTGTTAAATTGTCCATCAAATAAAAACCGCCGTTTTTTAAGCCATTCTTTGCTTAATGCGTTAAATACAGTAAATTTTTAGACTTTTAATATTTGATAACATATAAATGAACCAGTAAATAAAAGCTGCTTACATAGTGTCTTATAAAATGTCAGTCACAATCTTCAACGGGTAATTCAATCATTCAACGACATCTGAAGTGTCTGAACGGGGACAGATTCTTAACAACAAAAAACAGTCTCGAAATGTGTAAAATGACAATTTTTTTGGCTTCTTTTTTTATCGGTATGTTTATACAACTATTTTTTTGGCAGTGAATACAACAATTCCGAATGCTACATATAAGTAATTTTTTTATAAATAATTTATAAGTAAGTAATTTATAAGTAAGTAATTTACTTTATAAGTACATATAAGTAATTTCCGAATGCTACATATAACGGATATAACGCATCAATGCTTAAAGCTAACCGCGAAAAAAAGAAAAACTATCTAGGATTAGTAGAAATCGGGAAAGTTCTCTAAATATCGGATCGAAATTGAGCGAGTAGTCTTGCAGACTGACAGTAGCAAACGGTATTTCTAAATGGAAAATGAGCTTCTGCGAACCTACTAGGTTATTAGCTTTTCTGCTTATAATTTTAGAATTACTTAGAAAATACAGCTACGAAAACAGAAGTAAGACTCATTTGATTACTCGAGTGTTCTAGTGTTCAACCTGTAATGTTAAATCATAAGAAAGGTCAAAAGTCGTTTGGTACATATTTGAAGTCTCATGCAAGCTTGCGGCATAACAACAATCAGTTTTTGAAAAAAAAAAAAAACTAGCCACTGCTGACTTGAAAATACTTTTTGGGAAGCTGAAAGTAATCAAATTTTTTAAAAAAGTAAATACGGTGTTCCAAAATCAGATTCAATAGGGTACCATTGCATAACAATGAAATGCATCAGGCAGCAATGTTTTGGTGGCCCACTGAGATTGATCTGAAAATTGAATACATTTCTTTCATACAGTGAATAAATAATGTAATTAGGATGAGATTTAACTGCAGGATATTCTTCTCAAGATTTCTTCAAAGAGAATTAAATTCAAACAAATGAGTAATTCTTTTGAAAAAAAAAATTAGGGTATGACGAAAGCAGCTTTATTCTGCTTAAAGGTTCTCCACCTGATAACCTAGTAGTTCAACAAAAAAAAAACCTTGATCATTTTTCACTAATCAGTTTCTCCCTCTTTCTGCTGAATATTATCAAATTTGATTTTTGAGAAACAAAAAACTGAAGCATGCTCTGCAAAGATTTATTGAACTATTTAATACCTCTTGGCAGTAATTAATGAACTGTGAACTTGCTCCTCCGGTTTTACTGAGACATCACAAAAGTTCTGTCCACATTTTGGTCCATAGACAGCCAAAAGCCCTGTTGATAACGAATATAACCTAAGTCATAAAATTCTCGGCTAAGTATGTCGTCGTCTTCGGTTTCACTCTATTTGCATGTATATTTTACACTCTTTATTCTCATGTTTTACTCTTTGCTTCAAATAGATAACGACTATCAAATAAGACTTCAAAAGCTTGTATTACTTTCCTAGCTTTTTAACTTTAAATTCTCGTTCTTCCAAAACGGCCAACCAAAAAACTTCCAAAAACGTTAATAATCGTATTTATGCTGAATGATACCATTTATGCTTGTATTAAGAACGTCTTAGTTGTAAAAAATTACAGTCTAGTCTCAAAATCTGACAAAAATTTAGGCCTATCTTTTCCTCTCATTGTATTACTCTCAGCTACAACTATTGGACTTATAAAAGTTCTAGTCTGAAACTTTCCTTAATTATTTCTGCTTTCATTATATCTTAATTTTTTTCCAGAAATGTAGAAAAAAAATTTATTTGAAAAAATAAACGTGCATTTTTTTCGATAATTTTTTTTTTTTGAGACTTTTAAAGAAGTCTGCTTGGAGAACTACTATGAACTGCTTAACTTTTTGAAACTAGAGGTCATAATTTTTGGAGAAAATATTAAATTACCAAATTGTGTGTGCAAAAAAATGCAATTATGCACTTTTAAAACAAGCCTAACTGTACGGGTACCTCAAAACTGTTCGGTTTTAGCTTAAAGAACTTGTTTCTCTAAATTCTCTATTCGGTTTCGTGGATTAAAAGCGAGGTTCCACATAAAACGAAAAGTAAGGTAGAAAAAAAGTAAGGAATTGAAATACAGGAGGAAGAAATCTGCGAGATTTTGCTTGAAACTATTCGGAAAATAGTGGCCACAAATAACAGCCATTTGTATGCAGAATCTGATGTCATAAGCAAATCATAACAAGCTAGGTTGAAAAGTAGTATCTTCACTCCTTTGGCACAAATTGTGTCGCTTTTGTTTTTACCGTCCTTAA